GTATGTGTTTGATCCTGTTGTTCTTTTACATTTGGTAGCTTCAGTATGTTTATTGATGACAATGAAATTAGATATGTGGTGTTGTAGTATATATATCTGTGCAGAAAACTTTGGCATTGAATGGATATTCAGAACCTGGCGGAACAGTTTTTTTTCCCTTCATTTTTATCTTTCGTGAGTGCACTTTGTGGAATTACTGCTGAGGATGCAAATATTTGATTTCTGTTTATTGAGCTTTTTTATTGAAATTCTGTCAACTCCAAACCCAGCAAAATAAATTTAGTAGAAAAGTATCTTGGCTTTGGAATCTCAAATTAGGCATCGATTTAAATAAATATCAACCTCTTTAATATAATTCATACAAAACAGAGAGGCATCAAATTAAATAAATATCAACCTCTTTAATATAACTGATTCAAAGTATACAACAACAGGGCATGAAAAAGCCATATGATTCCATCGAAAGTCTTCTACATAAAAGGGCAAATATAAATTATTAACCGAAACCAACTACAGAACAAGATTAGGCTTTCACCACCACCAGTGCAGAATCAAAAACCGAGACGTGCAGAGTACTCGGAGAACAAAGAACACACAAAAAAAAGGGAAAAAGAAAGAAAAAACAATACTGTTATACTACATTTTTGGTCAGGCACCGAAAATTCTGATACTCAGTTGAGTAAGATATTCTTTTAGCCGCTGCTTACTGCCTGCCCCGTTTCGTGCAAGAAGGGCACTTGTACTGCTTAATGCTCTCGGCTTTAGCTGGCGTTATTTTCACGCACTTGCCGTGATACCACCTCTCACATATGTCACATCCTATCCAGAACTCGTCTGCATTGTAATTCCCCCCACAGCTGCCACACAATGTCTCACTGTGTTCATCTTCGTTTTCTTCTTCGTAACTTTCCTCTGCATGCTTCGGATTGCTTTTGACTTGGCCATCGTTTGATCTCTGTAAATATGAGCTCGATTAGTTATTTCCGAATATGTGATGGATCTTGATCAGTTAGACAAAGCCCCAAAACTATAATAGTTGAATGATTCATAAAGGAATTAAAAAAAAAAAAAAAAGGTTTCCGTTATTTTGAAATTTTGAAATATAGCTCTCTTATGATTTAGGGCGAAATTGCATTTTTAGTCCTGCTAGTTTAACGCCATAACATTTTTGTCCCAAGGTTCCAACATCTCGCTTTTTGGTACAGTGAATTAATAATAGTTTTGCTCCAATTGCAGTCCTTTAAAGACTGAATTGCAACAAATTCCCAATTTCCCAGATTTTTTATTAGCAATTTAAGTCCTGTAATTTAAAATTTTATTGCAATTTCAATTACAGGACCAAAAGGCGAAAAGTTGGAATCTTAGGACTAAAATTGTTATGACATTAAACCAACAGGACTAAAAATGCTTTTTTGCCACGATTTGTAACCTTTGCTGCTGTAATAACAAATCATCGCACACAACTTTACCTTTGTGCTGTTGCGAGATTTGCTGCCACTATCAGTGTTTGGCTTGTCTTTAACAGGCTTCCTTTCTGTTACCACTTCAAAAACAGTTGGCAGCTCATTCATCATGCTGAAAAGCCGCTTCCTGTAGTAAGGTCAACAACATATCATATCGAACCCGAGCCATAAAGCCATTTTGTAAACATTTATACAATGTTTTCTGTTCAAGTATACATAGTATGGTCTTGTTAACAATTATGCGAAAACATTGTTTCCTTCGATCATACAAATTCTCCTAAATGCAAATGAAGTGTATGAACAGATGGTTAACGTTAACTGCAGAAAGCACTGGGTAACTGTTTCCTATCAAATTAATCATATTTACTAGCTTCTAATTCACATCCAAGTCATATGCAGGCCTCTCTCAGAGCAAATATACACATCTATTATTAAACTATCCATTTTGATCAGAGCAAGTAGAGTCAGTATCAATGAAGGTAAACACAACATAGTAAATACCAAATGATGCCCATTAATGATGACCATATCAAGTGTAGACTTCTATACCAACACTTGACAAGTCCGATGAACTGGCAAATAAAGGGGTTGGGAAGGGAAACAGAAAAACCAAGTGTTTTACACATACACAAAAAATTGTGCTGCAGAATAAACAATTTTTTTCTCAGGGCAAGACGAAGTAAGATAATATACTAGCACCCTATATTTCTCCGTTGAATGAAACAACAAATAGCTTGCACCAAAACTGAAATGCATAAGAAACAGAAACAAGATATAAGAAAAGAAACACCACCAAGTAATGGACAGCAAAAGAACACTCATCCCCTTGAAACCATGAATATTGTTAATTTACTGGCTCATCAAAAGATTTGCAACTTCTGTAAACAAGTGAAATTCGATACAGGATGACTTGTGAAATATGCATATCAGTTATAAGTTGGACATGATAACAAGTCCTAGCTTAATGCATTTCTGTTGCACAATAATTACAAGATGTTTTAAACCAGGTCACAGGACATGCAAGGAAAATGAGAAGAAATAGCTTGTCAACGCACACACAAAGAAAATACCTTTATCAGAAACAATACCAAATAAATGATTTTATACCTTTCATTGCGGTTCAACCTGGCCCCAAGATAAAATGCCACAGAGAGCAACCAGCAATCACTGTGGACAGCAATTAGCGAGAGCCAATCCCTTCGGTTCATCCCATCCCTGGCAAAATTGATCCCAAGCGCTGGCTCAGGGAGCTCAGGTGGAACTTCCTCCGCCGGAAGATTTACTTCCCAAGTTTCATTTGGATGTCCATACAAACAAAGATTCTCCTTCTCTAAAATAAATAAAATTGAGAAACCAAAATATGATAAACTTTAGGGTTAAAAAACGCAACAAGGATGTTAAGAAACCATTAATCATAACCATACACAGTAAATGCACATACAAGAGCTTCAATATATATACATATAAGCATCAAATTGTGAAGCTGCTAAATTTCATCCATAGTAATTCTTCATCATCAAAATAGCTAGCTGAATTTCAGGGCACCAAAATCTAAATCCAAGGCGAACGCTTAACTTTTGACATGGTAATAAGAAGCTAAACAAGAATGCCATTGACAATTACTGCAAAAAAAAAAGACCTTGTTAATGCAACACGATTTTACTGTCTGCATTCCTACTTTTTGCCTAACAAAGGAGCCAATAGACCTTCAGATCAAAGAAAAAACCAATCTTTACACAAACGAAAATTCTTCAAATTTCCCAGCTTCAACTACTCTGTTTAACAATCAGGACCAAGTCAAAGTACCAAATTTCACCTACGCTCAAGATTCTAAAATCGAGACAGCACAAATTTCCAAAACTCAATCAAACTAAACCCCAGCTAAAAACAAATTACCTGGATCACAGAGGGCGTAAAATTCATCCACATCTGAACAAGAAAAAGAAAAAAAATGAAAAAAGATCATCCCGTCACTGGTGTACCCAGAACAAAAATAAGGTAAAACAAAATAAAATTGACATGTTTGTTGTATCTCAAAATTAACTGATAGAGTACCATGAGTTAGAGCACGAACGATCCCAGCACGACGAGCGCTGTAATCTTTGTAGATCTCCTCTACAGTTCGAGGGCTCGAAGAAACTGCTGCCATTTTTCTGTACAAAAACTGCAAGATCTGATAGCTAATGAGTCAATACAGACAATTTACATTTAGAAATTGAAAAATTTGGGGTGAATTGTGAGTATGCAGAGGTAGGAAGGTGAGAGGAGGTTGAGTGTGTGCATGTAACGTGAGAACCGAAAATATAACAGGTGCTGTTGAAATGGGGAAAGGTAAGCAACGACGTCGTTTTATTGTTCGGTGAGAGGGCTTTTGCCCAATTTTTTTTCTCTCTTTATTTTTTATTTTTCTTTTCTAATTTTGTTTAAATTGACTTTTGGTATTTCACATAAATGAGGACCTCATAAAGAATAAGGATAATCTCTATTAGAAAATGATTATCATAATACCCGTACTTTTGTTTGAATTCTACATGCTTACAGCATTGGTTACAGTTAGATGTGCCAACGAGTCGAGCCGGGCATGGTTCAAGTTTATAATTTTAATACTCGAGATTGATTTTTTTACCGAGCCAAGCCCGAGCTCGTTTCAGTTTATCAATATTAACAAGTCAAATTCGTTTTTTAACATGTCCAATTAATGTAAAAGTTGAAAAAAATACATAAAACCCCCTCTACTCAAACCTTATCGAGCCTTAATGACCAAAGCTGTTAACTAAACGAGTTCAAAACAAACTCGAACTCGACTTTGACTCGAACGTGAAATATTGTAAACTAATATTGTACTTATACCACGGCTAAAAAATAAAAATATTCCTAAAAGTAAATAGTCATATTTATCAAAACAATTATTCATATTACTTTATAGAAGTATGAATATTTTTATTGCAAGCTTAAACTGTGATGAATATATAACGGAATAAACATTGGGGACAGAAAAGCTGTAGCAGAAATGCTTCATTAAAGTCACAGCCTTTTTAAATACTCTATCAACTGCCAAAATTCAAGTCCCCCATCTACTTCGAAATAAATTCCCACAGTTTTTTGTCCACAAAACAATCACAAAAATTAAAATCACATTCAAGACTTTACTTTCATCCTTTGTGCCTGTGTAATTTTCCTTGTTTGTTGCACTTCACTTTTCTTGTGTAAACATGATATGTTTTCTTGCCTGCTCCCAACAAGTAAGCGAGTAGTGTTGATAAACACAAAGCTTTCTAAACAATTTAATATATGAAAAATGAGTATAAAAGTTTACACTTTTATCACCTCAAAGATGCAGATTCACAGTTCCGAAGATGCAAGCTGACGAAAAAAAAAAACCCAGGCGTTGATTGTATCATATAGATAAAATCGAATTTGATAAATGAAATAATTCGATCGATTATAATCCAAAACACGGGCTAAAAAACAACTAAAAAACAAACTCTATCTCGAAAGAAATACCTCAGCATAATTTCCAACCCAGTAAATACAAGCTTACTGTGAAGATGTTAATAACCGTTTAATGCCCGTTTTCTGTTCTGAGGTAAGCCTGCTAGGGAACTTTATATTGAACTTCATACGCAAATTCCCCTTTTTGCCCTGCTCTTTTGGAATCGGCATGCCCTCACCTTTAACGACTTCTTCATAATTGGGACTGACGATGGTGTTAATAGGTACCGTTAAATTCCGCCCGTCGAGTGTGGTTATTTGTGCGGTGTAGCCGGTCAAGGCCTCGACCAATGAGATCTTTTGGGTGATTATTAAATCATTGCCATCCCTTTTGAACACACTGTGCGGCTTCTCGTCGATGATGAAAACGAGGTCGGAGGGTATTATGCCGCGTTGTTCGTTCCCTTTTTCAGGAAAAGTTATTTTTGTCCCCTTTTTCCACCCGGGTTTGATGTTGATTGTGAGGATTTCCTCCGTGGTTGAGGGTCTCCTGAAAAAAAAAATGAAAAAGCAGATAAGTGCTGTTTCTTGATATAAATATGCACCGAGTGATTTTTCTGAAAAAAAAAATAAAAAAAAAAATAAAAAAAAATTGGGTTTGCTTCTGTATGAAATTTCTAGATTCTGGTAAATTAGTTGAATATGGCTACGAGGGCTGTATTTACACGCAAGTAGCAGATATCTAAGTTCGTATCCATAACAAGAACAATCAATAAAAGAGAAAAAATCATAAGTATATGCCAGATATTCCACATTAGGCTGATATGGTATCATCTGACTTGCCGAGTATTTCAAACACTGCATGACTAGAAAGTGCCGTATTGTAAAATCTGGTATATGGCGTAACCTAACAGGATAAAGCAAAAGGCAAAGAAAAATAACAAACTCGAAAATTTGGTAAGCAAAGAATGAGCAACGTAAACATAAGAATCTCACTTAGATGTCTTATTAAGTTAACTTCAAGCTTGTCATCGACTTAGAAAGTTATCAATGATCTTATTTTCTTCTTACAATAGCCAGTTTCCCCTCAACTTCACACAAGGCCATGAAGGTGCGGTTTTGGAAAGTACAAAGAAGCAAATATCAAAAGAAGATGGCATTCAGCGCTAAAATATAATTAACGCTACTATATTGCCCGTGTATCTCTAGTGACGACAGCTATCCGTGCACTCAACACCGACAGAACCCTAATGAAAAAAAAAAAATGATTTTATCCCTTTTTTTCCATTCCAAGATCAAATATTTGGTTTTTTTTTTCAAATCTTTAAAAGACAGTTCACATTCCCTCCAAGTCTACCCTTTACTGAAGTAATAACCTTTGCTCAATCAGATATACAGATTAAAAGATCATTCAGCTGGTAAATGTGATTAATCCATCCAAAATAGCTCCACGCACAGACAAAGTAACCAAAGAAGGAAAACTCTAGCGAAAAGATCACGAATCAACAAGCTAAGACATAAATAAACAAGCTTAAAACTTATGTATAAAATCCAATTCCCAAGCAAATACTTAATAAGATTCGATTCATAAAGATAGAACCATATCAACAGAGCAACTTAAAAAAAGGCCAATAAACATCTAGAATTTACCCATTGGCATCAGCAATTTCTCGCGAAATCTTCATCTTTTTCGAAGTCCCCTTGTACAGATCTTCCAAACTACAAGGCAACATGCGTTCAATTGCAGGAGCCTTCCTTGGAATGCTCGGGCCGCCTTCTCCCCCGCCGGCAGCATTCCTAAACGAGGCGAATAAATCATCCCCAAACATACTCCTCGAAAACCCAGACGAGCCCGCCCTCGACCCGCCGGCCATGTTCCCCATATCGCCAAACGGGCTCGAGAACCCGAAAAACTCCGAGAATATATCGTCCGCGCTGCGTGGATTGAATCGGAAACTGGCGCCTCCGTCCCTTCCGCCGGAAAAACCGCCGGCTCCGGGAGGTGGAACCTGCCCCTTGAGACCTTCCTCCCCGAACTGATCGAAAACAGCCCTCTTCTGTGGATCACTCAACACCTGAAAATTTTTCGAAGTAGAATCAAACACATAACTCGAGTCGATTCCAATTCCAGCTCAGTTGAAAAGGGGGAAATTGAGAGAGGGAAAGAGGGTAATTACGTCATAGGCCTCTGAGATTTGTTTGAATTTGGCCTCAGCTTCTTTCTTGTTGTTAGGGTTTTTGTCGGGGTGCCACTTCATGGCGAGCTTCCGGTAGGCCTTCTTGAGGTCGTCGTCGCCGGCGGAGCGGTCCACCTGGAGTATCTTGTAGTAGTCCACACCTGATGGAGACGAGGCCGCTTT